TAATATGATTTGATTGAAAGTAAATATAATTTAAATTTTAATATTTTGAATGGAAAAGATAGGCTTGTTTTGGGGCTATATATAGTATCTACTGAAAGTACAAACTAGTTTCCAAGCTCAGAATGAAAGATTTTCAACCAAATGCATGTAAAAGAACATTAGTAGGTAAATTAATTTTTCATCATTTTTAATCATAAATTATTTGTTCTTAAACATAATAGATTTTATTATTAATTTTATTTCTCAACTTAAGTTGTCAGGTGGATTGAATTTGGTCAGATAAGAATTTGGTCAGAGAGAAATACATCTGGTGTTTTTCTTCAGCATGTCCAATTGAGTCAAACTTGTTATCTTTTCTTGGCTAAATCTATAATAAACAGCCTAGTCTCAAACAATAATATAATTCATCTTATGAGAATCTGTTTACAGCATTTATGTCCTGTTTCCTCAGTATGGGAGACTAAAAAGATCACAGTTCTTTTAGTAATGAAATTAATGTGACTCTACATCTTTTAGGATAATCCCATTTACTTGAGAGTGTTACTTATGTAATGCAGATATTTTCCCTTTATTAGAGGCATTATCTGAACTCAGGACCTTGATTTTGATGCTAGGGGCCACAATAATGTCATGGGATGCTGTTTGGTTACTCTATATCACTAAGCTACACACTCTGAGAATGACCAGTGAGAAATCTAGCATTATGTACCACTACTAATATCATGGAAGCATCAGAGAGCTGTCTTGAAATATCACTGTCCCAAAAGCTTGCTGCATAGGACAGTACTGGTTCCATATATCTCAAGGAGAAATATCTTTACAAGAGTCACCACTGCATGTGAAGAATTGTGATTCCTGTTTGCTGTTGTACAAATCTAATCATTTCACTGCTGATCCAGCTAGATAATTTCAAGATAACCACAGGAGATAGGAAAGGTAAGTGAACCTCCTTTTCCCTTTCAAAATTATACTCAAGCTGTAGTCCCTCCATACTTTTAGATATCTGGGCTCCTACTTTTACAATAAACATTTTTATTTATGTATAGCTGTTAAGCACAAGTCATGCTCTTAACACTGAACAAATGGATTAGGGAATTGGACCCATAGAGATTTTGGGCTTCAGGAATATTGATTCCACTATAGGTGCTTCTCCACTGGGATTGCCTGCAGTTGAAAGGGTCAGTTCTCTCTGAGTGCAATCTCTCAAGAGAAAATTCCTGCCTCCTAATCTCCATCAACATTTTCTCAAAAGAAAGAAGAAATAGGACCGTGATTTCTTCTTTCAAAACCAGTTATTTGCTCTTCACAAATTTTCCCAAATCTTTATTGGTAAATCTAGTCTTTCTGTATTCTACGGTGTAATAGGGGTGAGGCGGTCAGCAATTTTTGTCAAGCTCCAAAATTTGTTCCTTTGGCCTAATTGATTACAGCCATTTAAAAAAAAACAGCTTTTAAGGTAAGGGACTTTATTTTATTTATTTATTTTTGCTTCCCAATGTTTTATTAGTTAAATAATTAAAATCACAGGTTTTTTTTCTGTACATAAATTGTATTGAATTTGGTTTTTGGAAAGTTAATTAATTTATCCCACATATCCATATTTGATATTTCTAGATAATCACACTATCCTATATTAATATGCAACATTTTTTCATATTAATTATCTAGTCAGTATTCTGAAGTATTTGCCTTGTAGTTAGTTTGTTTCATATCTCTTTCAGAGTGGATGTATATTTTCGAAAGAGTTCCTAAGTAAAAGCTCTCTAATATTTCTTCAAATAGCTTATAAAGTAGATAACTTCTAATGGTGAGAACCTTCATGTGATGGTGAACAAATGTTGATTTGGAACTTTGCTTTATACATGACACCAAGAATCTGGTCCAGTGTGCGTGCTTACATTTTCCAAACATGCTGCTGTTTGAGTAAAGAAATGGTCATTATTTTGCAAGAAATCATTTCCTCAGGTTAATGTTTTGATAGTCCTCAAAATATTTAGCCACCAATCAGCAATTAAGTTTTATTATCCACACATATTCTTGTTTCAACTAAGCATTGTACTTAGAATAATGGTCCTTAATGATGACTGAAGATCTAGAAGTTCTTGCAAGTGAAGTTTTCCAATATTGTTTAAAAATAAATTATAAATTGAACTTTTGCAACATTCATTACAGGTAGAAATTTTCCAGTCATATTTTCTATAGTGCCTTACACTGATATATATGATTGAAGTATTCTATAAATGTTAGATTCTAGAATGAAATATCAGAAGCGTTGTTTGTCAGACAAATATTTGAGATGTTGCATCATGGCATGACATATAGAGATACTTTGCCTAGATCCTTAGTTATACTGATTGAGGAGGGCATCAGCTGAAGAATTTTCCACATCATTAACGAGGTTGTGTGTTTGTTCAATTTCACATTTTGCAGGTAACACTGAAGTTGATTTCTTATTCATTTTATTTATATTTTTGCACAACAGGGGAGACTGTGCTGCAGGCATTCATTGTTCTCCTTTGTGAGCAGTCTGTCACGATAACAAAGGTCAGCATGTTGGTAGACAATTTTTTCATCCAAGAGAGACTCTTATCTCTATACTGAGTTTATATCCATGTTGAGATTTTTCTATCCCATCTAAGATTGGCCTAAGACTTTTCCATGTAGATGACATTTATGTATTTTCTTTGCTATGTGTACTGTCTCATCATTATGAGTAGATAACTGTTTCCTACACATATGTTCTCAGTATGGTTTTTGTGCTGTGAGCTTTCCCTGATGCTCACCCACTAAGGTTAGACAAATGAGTGAAGAATTTTCCAATTAGAGGACAGATGATTGGTTTGTCTACTGTGCTCTTTAATGAATATTAAGTCTAAAACATTGATCGAAGTCTTTCCCTCTCACAGGATATTCACAGTTTTTCTCTTTTGTGTGAGTTTTCTCAGGAAGACTAAGCAACATAATTTACTGAAGGTTTTCCAACACAGAATGTTTATGATTTCTCTGTGGAGTGTGTTTTCTCTTGTTTCCCAAAGCTAGATAATTGAGTGAAGGCTTTCTCACACAGTTGACATTTATATGGTTTCTCTCCTGTGTGTATTCTCTCATGTTTACTAAGGTGACTGGATTGAGTGAAAGCTTTCCCACACACATGACATTCATATGGTTTTTCTCCTGTGTGTGTTCTTTTATGCTGTTTAAGGTTAGATGAATCAGTGAAGGCTTTCCCACACAGATGCCATTCATATGGTTTCTCTCCTGTGTGTGTTCTTTTATGCTGGGTAAGGAAATATGACTGAGTGAAGGCTTTCTTACACAGATGACATTCATATGGTTTCTCTCCTGTGTGTATTCTTTTATGCTGTTTAAGGGTACATGATGGAGTTAAGGCTTTCCCACACAGATGACAATCATATGGTTTCTCTCCTGGTGTGTGATCAATTATGCCTTCTGAATTTAGATGAATGAGTGGAAGTTTTCCCACACTGCTGGTATTCACACTGTTTCTCTCGTGTCTGTGTTCCCTCTTGCTGATAATGTTTAAGAGATTGACTGGAATTTTTTCTGCACATGCAACCTTCATATGGCTTCTCTGTTATGTTAGTTTGAGTGTGGCCTCTAAGCTCAGCAGAACTTGAAAAGGCTTTACTACACTGATGGCATTTGTATGAACATTTTCCATATTCAGTCATTTTGCTTCTTCTATGTGGGGATTCATGGCTGTAGGCTTTGCAACACAGATGATTTTCACTGGGTTTTTAAAAAATATTTTCCCATTCCATTACCTTGATGGTGGGTGTGTCATTTCTTCCATTAGGCTGAGTCCTTATCCTTTCAGGTATTGTAGGAGCACTCTTTCCCCAGTGTCCCTCATCTGAGTCCAGAAATCATCCTGGGAGATCCATGTGCTGTCTCTTTTACTCCGAGTTTGTCTCACAGGTGAGTTCACCCATCCACATCGGGCACCAAATGTAGGGAACAGGGAAAGGGGAAGTTACTAAAACCTGTGCAGTAAGTCCTAGTCTCCTGCGAGCCATGGCAGCACAAGGCAAATTAACTTATTATACAGGAAAAGTAGAAAAAAAGAGACTTTGAGAAGAAGCTGAGCTTTGGGCCTGATCAGTGCTGCTCTGGGAGGCAAAGACTGGGACTTTATTTTAAATAAAAAATTGCAAATAAAATACCAAGTGGAAACAAATATTTCTTTAAGAGAGTCTACTCCTACTTTTTCCACATCAGTTTTGCCAAGAATATTTCAGAAAAAAATATTCCCTGAATAATTCTGTATACATGTTTGCTCATATTCCTTAAACCAAATACACTGGCTATAATTGGAACTCTTAAAGAAGAACAATGAACTCTATTTAGAAAATTAGCATGAATTTCCAATATAAATATAAAACTTTAAGATATTGAAATAGCTATACCTTTGAAATTTCAGATAAAAAATAGTTTAAGTTTTAGGTATTTGAGGATTTATATTTAGGATCTAATCTTTTTATTTGAAAAGATTTCTTAATAGGATATGTCCTTTTTGGAAGAAATAATTCTGCAAAGTTAAGTCTTTCTAAACTGGATACAGCATACTTTTATAATTGTCAAGACCTCTATGGTATTTCAGTCAGTGAAAATAAAATCTATTAAAACAAAAGAAGTTTGTGCTGACAGATATAATCGTACATTGTCTGTAAGAATCTATGATTTTTCTTCTCTTCACGTAATGGTTTTTATCTAGATGTCCCCCAAAGCCTCATGTGCTCATGGACTCATAGGGAGGACTTTGGGGAGGTGACTGGATCGTGGGTGTGTGATACCAATCAGCCTATTAGCCCAGCAACAGGTACATAGTTGAATGTGAAATGGAGAGGTAAAGCCTGGTCTGAGGAGGTGGGTCACTGTGGGCATTGCCTAGAATGATATATCTCCCTCCTCCTCCCTTGATCTCCCTCTCTCTCTCTCTCTCTCTCTCTCCCCACCCCTCTCTCTCTCTGTCTCTGCATCCTGCAGCCATGCCATAAAGGTACTTTTCTTTTGCTGTGCACCTCTGCCATGTCTTCCTGCCTGAGAGTCAGCAGACTATGGGCTGAAATCTTTTTGAACTGTAAGCCAAAATAAATCTTTCTTCCTTCAAATTGTGGATGTCAGGTATTTTGTCCCACCAACAAGAAAGTAACTAAGATCCTGCATAAATATAGAATTGCTATTCATCAAAATATTTTGAAAGAATGAGCAAAACTTGAAATAATTTTACATTGTGAGAAGATAAAATAATTTCAATGTTTACTAAAATAAGAATTGAGAATTTTTTGAAGTTTATCTTTGAAGAAATATGGTTCAGAGCCCTTGCTCATAAGATCTGGTCTCATGAGGATGGGGTCCAGATTGCTTCAGCTGATCTTTCCCTTAAGGATCCAGAATACACACTTCCCTTTATTCCACTTAGGAGACAGTCATGTTTTATTCTAAACTACAGGAGTACAAAAGCCCTAAAAATACATGTTATTTTCTGGAAAAACAGACCCATGTACTGTACATTGAACTTTCAGAGTGTAGTTCTCTTCATTGGTTCCAGAGATTCCACATCTTCCCTATGTCAAAACATCAATGAGATGCTGCTAGTAGGTGATAGACATTTTCTGGCATGGTCTGTCTGAAAAATAGAGCAAAGAAATATTTTCACAAATTTAATTTCTGGTGAAACTCCTTGCTACATTTATAATTTTTTATCACTGTTAATTTTTTAAAAATTATTCTGCTCTATAATATATGTGAAAATCACTGATACAGGCTATGAAGAATTGATAAATATCTTAAGCATGAGGATAAGAGGATGAGCTTTTTAATTTAGACTACGTCAAAATCAACAGGACAAATAGCTTACAATCTGGACCTAGGATGACCAATGTTGATGCTATCTGTAATAGACTAAATAAAGGTCAGTGCTTAAACTGACATACTATGAACAGAGAACAAGGGGGGAAACTCAAAAGAAATTTCTAAAGTAGAACTGCCAGGATTTAATAATTGAATAGGTATGTTGGGTAAACAGACAAACTTGTCAGAGGATAACTTGAGATTTTTCTATCTGATGAATTTGAGAGGACAGACATAAACAAGGGAGAAAATGTAAGAAGAATAGGAAGAAGCCAATGACAACTAGAAAAATCAGTAAGTGACGAGATATTGAAATTAAAGAGAGAAGATAGGGCTGGAAATGTTGAAAATGGAGCTCTCAGGGAACATGTTATTTAAAGCCACAGAAGATAATGAAACCACCCAGTAAGAGGGAACAAAGGCGTGTAGCAGTGTTGAAGTTTGAAAATAAATGGACATATTCCTGGTACATAGATAAAACTGTGCACTTCTGAAGTAGAATGGTGTGGGGCAGACAGGTCAATTATAGATCTCCTGTAAAAGGAAACAAAGAGAGCACCACAAAGAACTCATTCTAAGAAAATACTTTAGTACTATAGGAAATTTAAAGTACTCATTATTTTGGTTCCTAAGACCATCCCTTGGTCTACTTCTGTGAATTTATGCCATCTGTACTCAAAAAATAAATATGGTTTAAAAAAGAGAACTAAAGTGAGAAAACAGAGGATTAGAAAGGCTACATCCTTAATCTGATCAAGATTAAGGATTGCGGGCCGGGGATTTAGTTCAGTGGTTTCCCTGCCGGCTACGCAAGCCCAAAGACCGGAGTTCGATCCCCGCTACCAAAAAGAAAAAAAGATTAAGGATTGGCCAAGTTGGAAGCATGGGAAGCTGTTCTGAGTGAACCATATGAAAATTGCAAGACTTTAGGAATATATGTCTTGTACTCTGAGTAATTAGTTTGAAAATAATGAAGCACAATGTAATAACTATTGTTATTCTTTTATTTTTTATTTTATTTTTTCATAAAATAAAAATTTAAAAGATAGGGGGCCAGGGATTTAGCTCAGTGGTTCCAGTGCCTGCCTCACAAGTGCAAGGTCCTGAGTTCGATCTCCAGTACCAAAACAAAAACAAAAACAAAACCACAACAATCAGCTTTCTATCAATGTAGTTGCAGCTCTTCTAGAGCACATGAAAATAGGTTTTTCATAAATTTT